AATTGGTTAAATATTGTGGTAACAATATGTGGATATTTACTCAGTAATTTGTGAGGCTCCGAAAAGCCTTTTCTCGAAATAAAAATAATTTATATAATATTTGTTTATATTTCTAATTTTCAGTGATGTTTCAAATAACGGAGAGGTGCAGTGTTTKCTGACTTACATCGCCGTCACTTCTTTTGCTGGACAAGTGATGTCGGCACATGTTGACGTCATGTCTCAACTCTTGAATGACGTCTTCAAGACCAGTCAAATCTGCGACAGGCAATCATAACCGTGAAACAGTAATCATAACCGTGAAACAGCAATAATGACTAATTTCCCTGCTAGCAAAGTCTCTCTCGTTGTACAGTTCCTCGATAACCTTTCGGGAACTACAGCCAGACTCTTTTAGCAGGAAAAATAGCGGAGCGTTGATACGGAAAAAGTGATCACGTGATTAGTTTTGGTGCTTGGCGTTCGCAGCAAATATTAAAAATGCTCTTCATTGTTAATATYAAACATACATTATCCGTTTAAAACTTTCAAATACCTTTTTCTATCATTCGCATTTTGCTTTTTTGATCTTCAAACTATAGCAATAAAAGACATATTGTTAAACGTATGCATATACGATGCTTGGTTGGATATAATTCTCTTCTTTAWWGGCCCAGTTTTCAMCATCAYGCTTTGCGCACCTCTGTTATTGYATGATTTACGCCAAAATACTTCTAATATACAAATATTACCATAAAACGAATTTCAGATGGTTGAAAACTTATATAATATTAGCGTTTAAAGTGCTTAGAAAAGTGAGATGGTCAAAGATTCGAAACACACAGWACAATTTATAGACTTTCGGTAAACTGAAAATGGCCACCTCCAGGCCCTCGCGGCCCCCAAAGCATGATGGAGCTCACTGKGCCTTTAAATAACGTGTGTTAAATTGTTGCTCGAGTTCAGAGTGGGACGTACAGTATGCTTAGGTGGCGAAATAAGCGGAAAAAATYATTCAAATTGTCGTTCGGCGGTTTCATTTTGAAAGTTCTAATTTATTGCGCTTGGTACAGAGTCAATTTCGTATGAGTGGTCCGAACGTACGGTAGAAATTACCGCACAGTTACCGGACCTGGCCTGCACAACTTTTGGGAACCAATGAGGCACTAGAATTTGGTTACAGTACGATTACGGTCACAGTACAGTACCGTCCGTTTCCCACTCATACGAAATCCGCCTCTATTCTAGATTGCAATACCAACAAAAAGGTTRTTACAACGACACAATGAATCAACTTTCCGTGAAATTTAATTTGCTGTAATAACATTTTAATATAA